CGGCATTCAACAACCACATTGAATGACGATCGCATAGGAACTTGATTGTTGAACTATGCTTTTGTTCCTATTACTCAGTAGTAGAATATTGGATGCAATGAATAGCTTTGAAAGTGCAATTTTCATGTCTGTGATGAACTGATTGACATATTTACGAGATCATTAATTGATACATCTAATTTGTTAGACAATGATAGTACTTAGTACTTACCCTCTTAATGTTTTCTTTTCTGAGTAAAGCCCTGTTAAGAACTTGTGTTCGTCATTATTGATAGTGGAAAGATATTTGTGAGCAAGGCTAAGTTTTGCCAGATCAAATGTCAAGCACTAATGGTATATGAGATAATTTTCGGTACTATGAGAAAATAATTAGATTCAGACGTCTAAAATTGTACTCCAACAACCTAAAAAAATTACAATCCATAGCCAAAGCACAAAAAGCCACAAGTCTCAGCAGGTAAGGAACACTTGACTAATGTTCGAGGAGATAAAATTAAGGTTTTCCAAAATGTCACGATCATCGCCTGGGTTAAAATACCGCCAAGGCACGAAAAATAAATGAACATGATAGATCACACACTAAAGATGATGATAAAGTACTTTAGTTCCTTGACCATGTTCAACAAAGTACCTCAAAATGGAAGTTGAAAACTAGACAGGTCTATTCATTTGAACCAGCAGGACCAACAAGGACTCCTTGTGCAGAGCCTTCCTTTCGAGCACCCTCCTCCTTTACTTCATCAGGTTTTCTGATTCTAATTTTATACTTGGCCTCAAAGTCTGAAATCTCCTTTTTCTTTTTCTCCAACGCTTCATTCAGTCGCGCTATCACTTCCTCAATTCCCTCCTTATTGCGTTGAACAGCAGGAAGGACCTCCTTGATGGTTCTCTCAACAAGAACACCTCCAATCATCCTATAACACCGCCTTGCAGGATCAAGTGGTTGTATAGCATTGATTACGAGTGAGTGCTCACTAACTTCCATTTCTAGTTCAGTAATTTTAGAGTAAATCTGGGTGATCTCAGACCTCATGGAACTGTAGACATTGGCAACTGCTTGCTCATTGATTGGTTCTTCAGCTCTAGCAGCCATAGCGCTGAGACACAAAATAGACCGTGTCAAACATCATATCTATATCAGTAACTCCAATCACAAATAGTGGTGATGAAAGAATCACATATCAAAGCCGTATCAAGACAAAGGTAATCTCTATAAATTCATGTTATTAGGGCAAAAGAGAAACCAAAAGGACAGTAGAATTCATGTTATCAGTAAAAGCCTCCAAGAAATACTGTGGCATAATTATAACACAAATGAAAACATTTGCTTGGAAGGGAAACTGAAGCTAGGACTTCTTGGAGCTTAGAATTGCATGGAAGCAAAGAAGAAAATTAACTGACAGGGAGAAGTGGAGAACAACTTTTCCTTTTGATCAAGGGATAGCATGTAAACAATGGTACGTCAAAACATCATTCTCCTGTATTGTCTTCTCCAAAAGCCTCTAAAATCATTCTCATATCCATTAACAAGATCCCTATTCGATATTCAGTAAAAACACAAGACCAATTGACTAGACTTTCAACAATATGTGCCATGAAATTAAGTTTTACCTCTCACAGCCAATATGAAATACTATATAAATGAAACATCTACCAAATACATTTCCTCAGGAACAAGTCCTTACATTTGTTGGCAGTATTCCCTGATTTCAGTTTAGCCCTCAAAGGTTGTCATTATCTAGTATGCGTACATCACTAGCGGTCACAAAGGAACCCAGAATTAATACATATTGTCCAAATGATAAAAATGTGTGGAACAAAAACAGCACAAATTTTGGATTCTAACTTGTCTTATGATATACCTCAAAGCTTATTTAAGTCCTAAAAATGGTTTCGGAAAAGAGTTGTCCTTCGTATGTTCCTCCTTCCCTTGCATCCCCTCACTCCTAAATATTTTATTATCAGCTGAAGTTCTATCTATAACTTAGCATTGCTCTTTTCTTTTCCTTGCCTTGTTGAAAAGGCACTATTAATTTTTCTTAAAATATCAAATCTTCCTTCCATAAGATGATAAGATTTAGTTGTCTCCCAAATAAAAGTATAATGTTATCTGAACCAAGTGAATAAATGCTAATGTTTACTAAAATGCCTTAACGAAAACATATTGTTCGAATGGTTGACCTGTCACATTTAATGTTTCTTCTTGTTCCCACATACCCAAACTAGATATCGTAAATTGAGCTATTAACAACTTGGATAAAGATTATTAGAATAGAAACTTAGAATAACCCCCAATGTTAGGTAAATGCTGTGATCACACTCCATCAATCCACCCCCCTTTAGTAGCATCTCATATCAAGATTATGCAGCTTTAGCATTAGCAAATATTCTTCACTAACGTAGTCCTGCACAATAAAGGCTCAATGTAGTGATCTATCTCCACTTACCCCTGAAACTAGTGATGTTTTCGTTTGACATTAGCACACACGGGTTATACATCTGCAATATGCATCGTCTACAAATTACCATGGACATTTATCATTGCCAATAAAACCTAAATACTTTTGCCCTTCAAAATCAATAAATTAAAAGGCAAACAATATATTAAAACCCATGAGAAACCAGTTGCATAGCGCCTTCAGTAAACTAAATCCAAGAAAAATACAGCAAAAACCACAAGGTTTGAACTTAATTAACCACAAAACGACCAGTGATTCATAAGATGATTTGACAAAAGACCTAATTATTAGGAATCATCATTCACTCAAAAACACAAAATCAGAAAGCAAACTTCAAAGACCTAAAACAAGTAAAATCATGACTTACCCGAATAATTCTTTGACCTAGCAAACTGCGAACAGTGGGAAAAAGAAGAAAAATAATAGGGCAAACTTCGATTTTGCAGAAGAAAATGGAGGAATCAGCAGGGCTTGTTTGGTGTTTGAAGAAAAATTAAGGAAGAAGAGAGATTTATTTTGGGTTTTGGAGTGGGCCGCTTTTACATATGGGGCGGGCAGCCCATCTGCACGGACATAGACAAAAATTTATATTTGTATGCTATAACAAAGTTTGCACTCCATAGCAAATATAGAAATATATAATTCGCTATACATATACAGTTGAAGTAAATTGTATAAAACGAAGTGTATAAAACAGAAAGAGAAAGACACTTGGGCAGAGAACTATATAAAAACAAAGTATATAAAACGAATTGTATTATTATAAGTGTATAGAACGATTATATATAATTTAAATTTGTATAAAATGAGAAAGAGAGAAAGACAAAAGAGACTTGACAAGGAATATACAATTGAATCGAATTGTATAAAACGAGAAAGAGAGAAATTAGATACAATTTGAAAATTGTATAAAACGAGAAAGAGAGAAAGACAAAAGAAACTGGGCGGGGGAGTATTTTTATTGCATAATTATAAGTGTATAGGACGAAAATATATGTACTTACATGTGTATATATAATTTTCTCACGCTTTACACAAACAGAAACACAATTTATACATTTTGCTTCTGTTTGTATAAGTGAGAAAGGAGAGGGTGACGAGCGAGATTTGGGAGAGTGGCGAGGGAGATCTGGAAGAGGGGAGAGAGGGGAACAAAAATATATGTATTTATACAATTTTCTCTGCTTTATACAATTAGAAACAATATTTATACACTTGTGTTTGTATAAAAAGTGAGGAAGCGAGCGAGAGATTGGAGGAGAGTGGCGAACGAGATATTTGGGAGAGAGGCGCCTGAGAATTTTTCGCAAACGTTTGCTATGGAGCATAATTAAATCAAACCCTAGCTACTCCATTTATTTTAGGTTATTAGTTTGCTATTATATACAATTTTCCCTATTTCAAAACTCGTGAATACATTGCTCGTTACATAGTTAATTATATATAAATTATAAATTAGATATATATGTTATGTATCTATATAACTATAAATAAGATTCATATTGATATAGATTTGAAATAATTAGCGTTATGTATCAATAATAATATTTTTTATGAGAATATTGTACACAAATAAAATTATAAATAGAAGTAAAGTGGGATGTTAAGAGAGATAAAAGGAAAAGGGGATTTTTTTTAGTCATTCAAATGGTAAAGATTTTTTTTATGATAATGTTATCTTAAGTCGTGTAATTACGTAATTTCCTTATTTTTTATTTTTCAAAATGTTTGTTTTAGTTAACAACACTTAACTCGAATCGCACTAGTTTAGGGACTAATTATATGTCTTCACTTTAATTTCTCATTTTTGAAATTACTTTCGTATCATAGTTTAATATAATCTTCTATACCACATTTACTTACCTTGTCAAACATATATATCTAGTACACTCTGATACATGAATCAGATGTGGAATGAAATCCCTTAACGAAGATGGCTAATTTTTTTTCATTTTTAATAATAAAGACCAGATTTCTAAGTCCGACATGAAAAATGAAGCCTCCCCAATGATTAGAAAAAGTAAATCTAATTTTCAAAATGACGTAAAACATCCACAACTTTTTACTTCATAATTTATAGACACTTTTTTTACCGGACCTTAATTTAATATTCACATTATTCATAATGAAAGTTAGTTTCGAACTCCTGAAGTATTAGAACACGAATAGACATGAGAAAAAGTAAAGTTAAAAATTGCAAAGGAAGCAGATAAGTAACATGATAAATACATTACAAAAGTAATGACATCTTTAACTATTATTTAAATGACTGTGGAGTTACATATTAATGAATAAGGATACTAGATTTACATGTACATAAATTAACAAAGAAAGTGCAAAAAAAGGAGGAAAATATCCAAAAAAAAAAAAAAAAGATTTTTAATAATTCAGTTGTTATAAAAATTTAGGCAGAAATGAGATAAACAATAAGAAAAAATTAACAAGATCAAATATGATAATCTTCACATGAATCATCATTCACCGTCCATCGGTGACCACATAAAGTTAGCAATAACATGATTTAGCATAAAAGAGTACAAGTAGAGAGAGATCCAACTTTAAAATATACTAATTATCCTTTCTTCCTTCACTAGATAAGTCTAACAAACAAGAGAATGTTCACACTTAATTATTTTACATTAGTGTTCTGTTAACAAAATACACCAATAAATACACATACATAGGTAACTTCAGAGCTAAATACAGATGGGACAACATACAGGGAACAAAATTACACAAATCTTTGAAATGGTTTCCTCCCAACTATAGTAGGCGTCGAACCAGTAGAATGCACACTCATATGATCTCCCATAGATTCATGTTCCTTTAAAGAAGCGGCATCCTTTCCAGATCCTTTGTTCCACTTGACGGATCCAGTACTACTTGGAGTCAAAGGAAACGACAGCCTCCTCCTCGAGCTGTTTGATGGAGTACCTATATTTCTCTCCTCAAGAATGGTTTTTCCTCTGAATTTAGCTTTGGCTGAGATGGTTGGTGACATGTAACTAGGACCTGAAAAAGGAGGACAGCTCGTGAGGCTGTCGTCATCCTTCATGGAATGATTGAAAGGGGAATCAGCAGCACTAGCACGGCGTCTTGAATACTTTGATACGCTTGAGCTGCTCATTGGTGATGATGTTCTTCTGGGAGTATGCATTAGTTTTCCCCTTAATGGAACTGCAGACTTAGTTGACCTTGGTGTAACTGATTCATGACTGTCATAATCCAAATGGAGGTGTCTGAAGTTTTGACTTAGACGCCATGGACTTGGCTTGTGTTCGGATATTGCCCTTGATGGTGTTGAATGGACATCTTTTACAGCAGATTGGCTCTCGGAATCATTTCCTGGAAGTAGCTGGTGGTGCAACCAGTTCCACCACCAAGGAATTCCACTGGTTCGGATGTCCGTAGCTGATTTGGGGTTGCGTCTCCACAACTATTAAAAAGAGGTATGCAACATGGTAAGCCGTATATAAGGCTAATAGAAGTATAGAGTTTGTCAACATGTCTTGGCCAAGAATAACAAATAATGATAAAGTACTTTGAACCAATTGAGATATTATGTGTTTTACCTAACGGTTTCTTGCCAGAATCACTAATGGGAAGTTGAAACAAGAAAATTGAAAGTTTTGACGTTCTTGTAATTTGCACAAGCGCATCTTAGTTTGATAATATGAAAGACTAGTCAAAAGCAACAAACTGAGAGATTATTATGATGCACTTAGTACCAGGATTCACATTAGATAAAAGATTTGGTAAGAAAGAGAACCACTAAAGAAATGTCTCAATAACTTGGCCATAGACAGATAGAAATTGTTATGATGCCCTTAATACCAGGATTTGTACAACATAAAGGAAGTGACAAGTGTTGACACCCAATTTTGGCTTAACATTTTCCAGTACCTTGTGAATTTTATTTATTCAATTGTTCAAAATACATTTTTACAATTTTATCGATATTTATCCTTATTTCTCATAATTTCAGGTTTTTATGAGTTAATTTTAGTTATTCTTTCGTGTCACAATGTTGTGAACATCGTATCTTCGATTAAATCATTATTTATTATGAAATTGCATTTTTTATATGTCATTCATTTTATTTGTCACAATCTATTAATATTTATTTTATTTGTTACTTTTATTAATATTTATTTTTTATGTTTTTAGCGCAGTCTAGAAATACATTCAAATACGGATAAGATTGCATACACAGATATTTTATAACCAGTGGTTTTAGCCCACGATTTTAAGATAGTGGTATTGTACTAAGACGGCTTTCAATTTTCTATTTAAAGAATTTCTTGGCCATTAAGTTAGTGGTGGTGAATAAGGTTTACATACTTGGGGTGTAATTTAGAAATTTTTTAAGTTCTTTTTTTTTTTTTTGAGAAGGTAACATTTTAAAATTCTTATTATTATTCATCATCTTTATAGGTACCCAGAGTTGCTTCCCATTGAAGCTATTCGAACGAACTTCGAATTATATTCTTTATTCATTATTTTGTATAATTGAAGCTAGGCAAGCTTAGGCTGTTTATCATATTATAGCAATATTTTATTATTTGTGTATATAGCATTTTTATCATAGTTGTATATTATTGTTATCTCTTCCTCAATTTGAAAAAATAAATTCAGTCTGGAGTCTGGACCCACAATTGTGAACTTCGAAGGATGCCTAACACCTTTCCTTCGAAATTACTTGAACCCTTACCTAGAATCTATTGGTTTCGTAGATCATTTAAGTAGTTTCCTAGTTTTCCTAAAATTAGATGGCAACTCCCTTAAATTTTGTTTATTCCTAAAATTCTTTTAAGTTTAATTGAATTGAATAAATTGATTATTTTTGTGTCACCAAGATGTTTCTTCTTATATGAATAAAGTAGGGATGTAAACAGAATTCTCTGGTGTGAGCTCGCCCGGTTTCAGGTGCAAGAAAAGGGGGTGTTTGGTGACTTCCAACGTGGAGGAAGAAATGGAGAGAAAGGTGGGTTGAGGTTCTGGTTTACTTCGTTTTGGTGGTTGTATGGTATCACTGGTAGCTTGTTGTTTGCTACAGAAAAAAAAAAAGATAAAACCAAAAGGGGTTTTGCAAGAGTTGGAACCTCCGGTTAGAACCGAAAATAACAAAGAAAAGGCTAAATGGTTGGGGTCTTTTGGTGGTGGACTAGGCGAAGCTCCGGCGAAAAGTTTGCCAAGAAAATACTAACACTAAAAAAGTTTCTTAAAGACTAAAAAATCTGAAAATTACAGCCATTATCTAAAATATTATCCACCACCACTAACTTAATGACTAAGAAATTGTTTCAATAGAAAATTGAAATTCGCCTTAGTACAATACCATTATCTTAAAAGTCGTGGGCTAAAACCACTAGCTAATAAAATATTTGTGTGTGCAATCTTTTATGTATTTAATTGTATTTCTAGACTCAGCTAAAAACATCAAAATGGATTTAAGTAGAAGTAACAAATAAAAAATGGATTTTGTAAGTTCCCTATCTCTAGAAGGGTAGAGTAGTAGGGTTCCCTATTGACTGTTTTCACTAGTTTTTGCCAAGATAGCTCCATATTTTTCTGTTTGGAGCAGCTTTCTTGCACACTGTGCTTTTGTAACTTCGCATCTTCTTGATGCTTTCTAATATCATTTAATTTTATTATCCAAAAAAAAAAATGGCATGTAAAAAAATGTAATTTACCATAAAATAGTGATTTAATCAAAGACACAATATTCATAATATATTCAATTGATTGTTACAAAAAATAATGTAATTAAAAAACTAACTCATAAAAATCTAAATTTTGAGAAATAAGGATAAAAATGATAAGAGTTATTTAAAATTGTAAATAATGTATTTTGTACTATTGAATTAATAAAACTTAAAAGGTATGAATCTTTAAAATGTTAGGCCAAAATTGGGTGTCAACAATAAGCATGAAACAGAATGATACATATCTGCATTATCAAAAGCACATTTACGCGATGGTTACCATAGATTTTAAATGCTTAAGAACGCAAGTCTAATGTACCTGGTGAGAATATGCATAGCTCATTGCTCTCTCCCTCTTGATGACTGCCTCCACTTTTTCCCGTCGCCTTGCTTCTACCTCATCTTTAGTTAGCATACTATTATTCCAATCATCATGGTTACCTGCTTCAGTCTAAAAACAAAATTTCCTTTTTAACATCAAACGTAATTCAAAAAATGTTCAAAGACGAAAAGAAATTTTGTTCAACAACTCTCATATCCTTACACTACAATATATGTACAAAAATGAATTCCTAGAACCTAAATTGGAATTGTTGAAGAAGCTGCGTACCATCTTTGACCAGTGGAAGAATCCATCAAATCTTTCACAAGATAATCAAAGCACCAATAATGAGGAACATTACCCAATTTAAATGACCCAAATTGAATCTACTAAATAATGTAGGCGAACAGTGCCTCCAAAATATGGCATCGGCCTATACCACTAAATAGGTGAATACCACAAGATATGTAGCAGCTTAAACTTACCAGCTGAGTCCATTTGCTTAGAGTGCTCTCAACTTCTTTATCATTCATGTAAGCTTGACTATGGAGTGCCTGGAACATCTGACTTCTCCTTGACTGAATTTGCATTTGAACCCTACCTAGAAGTTGCATTTGTTTCATGGCATTTACTGTCTGCCGCTTTACACTTCTGCTTCTGACCACTCCTTGAAGTCTTGCTAAACCACTCAAAGATTTGAAACCCCTCCTTGCCTGTGAAAACAAAGTTCATTCACATAGGATATGTAAAACTTGTTAGCAATTGATACACTCTCTGAACCAAACATTCGTGTCCCATCAATGACCTACTCTAGAAAGGGGAGAAAATGGGAAAGGACTCCTATGGTTCTTTTTTATAAAAAAATAAAAAAATTATATAAAGCAATGAACTTCTATTCACTCCTACTTGAATCACGACAAGGGAAATAATAATGATAACATAAGATCCTATATTGTTTTCTTTGACATAAGAAGTTTTTCTAACAAGTTGATAAGAACAAAATTACTCGAATTTTCAAGATGCTTATGACAGATGAATGCAGACTCTGTATTTCCATGTTTTTTTTTAAATCAAGAATTAAGAATTCAGGTTCTGCAGTGTCCAGGAGTCATAGTTTCCATGGTTCAAGAGTATAATTAAGACATTGAGGAAAACTACTCTAGCAGTAAAGTCATTAGGACTGGAAATGGGTTCTTGAAAACAGCATACGAAAAGATTGGGGGTCCCAATTACATATACAAAAGTTCAAATCTCTTTTTTTCGTATCCCGTTTCAGATAATCTGCATGTAACTTAATTTTTGTCAAAAATTCGAAAAGAAAAATGGAGTTCTCAGACAAGGAAAGTGACCTTTTAAATAATCAGTCAAATATAATATTGAGGAAGCTCAGCATTTAAGAACTAAGAAGGAATCGTGAAGATCAAATTCTCAGGTAAAACTATCACAAGGAAAATCTTAATGATAAAAGGTCAAAGCATTTCTAAGGATCAAGTGAAAATGCAATAACAAGATACTGATTGTGGTAGAAACAAACTTCTTAGGTAGAAATGCACCCTGAGACCACTGAATGAACTCATCCAGAGCTTTAATCGAAGGGTTAGAAATTTATTTACCTGTTACCAGTTCTCTAACACACAGCAGGGAGTCTCCGCACATAAGAAACACCTAAATTTTAGACTAAGAGAGCCATAAGTCTTTAACAAAGCATAAAGCTTTTCACATAATTGATCTACTCTCTCAGCTTGATGCTCGCCTTCGGCAATAACAAATAGTTGCAGGAGACATGGAAATGATTACTTGGGAGACTATTAAAGTTGTTTCAACAATGACATAATTGTTACCAATATATCATGAGTTTGCAATAACATGACCTATGACTTATCACTCAAGATCTGGCCAACTCACAAAATCAAGTAGTATTCTTAAAGGCTATTTTCAGCAAAACATTGATGAAGGAGTTATCTTGTATCTTACCATGTAACTTCTGTAGGCTGCCTGTATCTTGGTTGCTGAAAGATGGAGCGTCAAAGTTGCTTCTGGCCTGTTAGCATAGCTAATCTCATTATGGTTCCTACTCGGCTCTGGATAAGTAGATCTAGGGGAAGAGACCCTTGGAGAAGCCTCCTTGGGAGCAGTAGCCTTCTGGGAAGGAGCACTAGCAGAGTTCGCCTTTGGAGAAGCTTCCCTAGGAGAGAGAGCCTTTAGGGAAGGAGCACTAGCAGAGGTAGCCTTTGGATAAGCTTCCCTGGGAGATGTAACCTTCGGAGAAGCTTCCTTGGGAGAGGTAACCTTTGGAGAAGCTGCCTTAGGAGAGACAACCCTTGGAGAGGCGACCCTCGGAGAAGTGACACCAGGAGATGTAGCCCTATAAGAACTCTGAGGAGACGCATCTCTAGGTGAATTGATTCTTGGAGAAGTTGGTGCCACAGGGAATGCAGATGGAATGCCAGATTGTTCAGAAGTAGGAGGCCTAACAAGTAGGTTCTGATCATCAACCTCACCCAGTATTTTCTCAATACTGCTTGGTTCTCTGAAGAGGAATGATTTGAACTCTCCATGCCTCAGTATTCTACGACCCTTCTTCTTTTCCTTTGCAGTTTTCTTCCCTGATCCCTGTAACAATCATCCAACTTAGCTAAGGATTGTATAATAATGTTAGAAGCATAGATATCCAGCAAGTTCTTCCCACCATCTTAGTATGATTTGTAAGGGAATATTTAAGGAAATCAGGCCAGAGCTGAATTTTTCCAAATACTTAGTTCACCCTTGGTCCACTTTATAAACACAATTCTCAACCAGGATTAGTAGTTAGATTGACAGAAACTACATCAATTATTGAAGTTGGTTTATTTCATCATAAAATAACAACTTCTGGGACAGATACAAGTAATATGAGAATATCAAGTTCAAGAAACCAAACTTTTAAAACTTACATAGGCAGACTTCTTCTTGGAGTTACACGTAAAAACCCTTTTGAGGGCATAAAACCAACTGCCTTTTTCCCCCATGTTTCTAGCATTACTGTGTCACCCTGAAAGAGAAGGAAACTTAACGTAATTGTCATTCAAAAAGAACTTAATTGAACACATGCAGTGCGAAAGCAACTTCATACACTCATTGTATTGAACAGAGATATTCTAGAACGAAACCCAAGATAGAGGCATTTCGAGCCGCCTCGGAGAATGCAACGCAAGCACTCCATAAAAAACATAGATTGCGCACCTAAAACCAAATACATCAAAAATTTGCAAATCATCTAATTTACTCAGTTAGGTCCCCTTGTTGATAAGCATCTTGAAGTAAAGTCATCAGTATTATTTAAAGAAGATATTTCCATAAGTTCAAATTTGGGATTCACACATTTAGCTGTCATAAGTTGATCAAGGGAGAGGAAAATTATTCACCACATAGAAATGGGAAAACCAAAAAATGAATAAAGGAAAAGGCAAACAGGGAAATGAATTTTTAGTCTATGTTGCTCAAACTCTTCAAAAATGTGTCCAAATCTCTAAAAGTTTCTTCAAAAATAGTGTATTTTTGGATAATCCGGCATGGGTGCAACGTCGAAAGTGAAGAAACTGTCCAACTTAGTTTTTAGGTCCCTTTAATTTCTTTTCTAGATATTTCATTCTTTGAGTTGACTTTAAAATTCAAACTTCAAGAACAAGAAGGAATCAAACTAAAGAAAGGTCCAATTTTTAAACTAGCTAAAGACAATAACACACAAGTTCATGTCATCATCATCATCATCCAGATGATTTCATAATACTCTTCCTTTTTTTTCAAAAACAAAATAAATTCCTTGCTGCTTTTCAACCTTCTTCAAGATGGTGATGAGATCAGAAGAGAGAAACACAAGGGGCAGAAAAAAATAGATATTTTTTTTACAAATAGATGCTAAAATTACATTCTGATGATGAAATTTGTTGTTTTGTCCTTATTTCCTTGACAACTACCAAGAATGTAACAGACAAATAATATCAAGAAATTATAAAATCAAAATCAAAAAACAAACCCCCAAATTCTACACCACATATAAAGACACACAAAAATAAAAATCAAATTTTTAGTTCACAAAGGAGTAAAGAACACATTTTTATGCCCTAAAATCACCATCCAAACTTGCAGAGTCTACAGAAAGTAAATTAATTTATGAAAGATAGAAACCCCAAATACCTCAAGTTATGTTTAAAGTCCTCCATTAAAACCCCCTTTCAGAGAAAAAGCTGAAACCAAAGCCAAAAAGCCAAGTCCAACAAGAAACCCAAAAGCAAAACTTGAGCTACCCTTCTCTCTCTAGAATCTCTCTCCCTTTTCTTCCTCCACTTAGTTATACTAATACTACCATAAACTTGGTGCTCCTTTTAGACTCTTTTTTTTTAGTCTAATTACCCAATTATATATACAAAGAATCTGCTTCTTTGTTGCTTCCACAGTTTATTAACCTCTTCTTTTTGTTCTTTTTTTGACCTTTTTTCCCCCTACCTTTTCCAGTTTATACTTTCATCCTTTTGTCCGGATAACGTAAATTTAAATTAATCGGATTCAATTGTCCTGATTGGTATGAAAGAAAAAATGTTTTTAATGTAAAATGTAATTTTTTTTGGGGGGGGGAAAAAAAATCAAACTTTTACTTATTTTTTGGTGTTAAATAAATAAAAAAAAATATTTTATCAAAAATATTTATTATGTGATTTAGCAGAAAACTACGAAAGCATAATGAGTTGGTTGGTTAAAGGATTGGAGTTTGGAATTCGTGAGATCGAGAGAAGATAATAAATTTGAAATGTCGAAATTTATTTTCTCTATTTGTAAACTTAAGTTCATATTTCTCTTTTATAAAAAATTTATCATCAAATATTAAAAAGTTAAAAGTGTTTTTTACGTATATCAAACATAGCAATAGATGATAAACTAGAAAAAAAGGAGGAAAAAATTGTCTATGAATTTATTAATAATTCAATAAGGGGTAACTGATAATAAGTTAGTAATTAATTAATGGAGTTTGGAGCTGACCAAACAACTTAATTATATTTAATAGAGCATTAATTAATGACGATAAAAGATTTTCTATTTTTTAAGTTATAAATGTATATGACACTTCTCTCAATTGAAAACGTATAAAAATATTTAATATATTTCTAGTTTTCGTATAACCTTCAAAAATTAGATACAACCGAACTATTAAATTTTAATATTTATGTAACCCCCTTTTTTTTTATATATATATTATCACCACATAAGTCATATTAGTATCTTAAATTTCTTATTCAGCTAATTTTATTTTATTTTATTGGTGGTCACTTTGTCAGTCAATAATTGGTGTGATCCAGCCTCAGCTATAACGGATATGTTTGGTTTTTTTTTTTTTTTTAAATTTAATTAATATATGTATTTCATTTCGAATATTGTTTGTCGTGACAATGACATTGATATCATGGTAGAAGGAACACAACATAGTACAATAACGTGATTTCTTTTTGTTGTCGTTCGATATTTTGATATTTATATTGAATTTTAATTAATCTGAGGTAATGCTGTGTAGTATCAAAATTGTTTAAAAAATTGAAATGAAATTGATAATTCGAAACGAAAAAAATTATTGATTTATTAGTATTGGATTACTGGTTTAGCGGTTTTGATTTTTTTTTATTATCGAGTTATCGATTTTTAGTGATTTGGGGTTTTTTTCTTAACGGAATAATTGATATAACCTGATAGTAAATTAAATAATTATATTATATCATTTTGCATAGAGTTTGGTTTCCTACTTTTATTTTTGATTATCTCAAACACTTGGTTATTTTACAACGTAAAAGTATTTGCTTTTGAGCATGATGTAACTACTGAACTCATGTGCATTGTTTGTTTAGGTTGTCCCCTTGTTTCTAAGTGGTTTTCAAATTTTTTTTGTGTCAAATCTTAATGGGTAAATAGATAACCGATAAAATAATATCTTAATAGTTATATAACGGTTTAACATATCTACGATCCGATAATCAAGAAATTATACCAATAAACTATAAAATCAAACTGAACCGACTGATACACAATCCTAATTCAAAGGCCACTAGCTCTTTCTTATGCTAAAAAGATATAATAGAATAATAATATTTGGAGGCGCATTCCGAAATAAAAATTCATCAAAATCAAAATAAATAAAATAATCAAAATTAGGGTTGGTTGATCTTCATTTATATTGATAAAATATATATATATATATATATATATATATATATATATATATATATTTGCCACATTAAAACTTTAAATAAGATATATTCAAAAGCAAAAGGCAAGAAAAGGGACACTTGCCTCTTCGATTTTTTTTTAAAAAATTAGAAAGCAACGTGCTCCAGGCGTGTTTGATAGTTGGTTAATTAGTTAGGGTCGGATTTACGATATAAATAGATAATTTGATGTTTTTGTAGAGACTTATAAATTTTAAATTTGTCGTTATTTAGGGTTTTTTATTTGAAATCAGGTTTATTTAGAATTAAAATTTTATTTAGACATATAATTTGAATTTCATAAGTTATAATTCTTTTTTCTTTTTAGGGAAAAGGGACAAATACTCCCCTTAAACTATCATAAATGATATGCAAATACTTTTGTCATATTTTTTTGGACACTAGTGTCCTTCTCGTTCAAAAATAGAGCATATATACTCTTTATACTGGCGGAAATATACGTATCATAATCTTATCTACTGACTTGACGTTTTATTAAATACCAGATCGATTGATAAGATTGTCACGTGTCTCTATTTCGTCTTTCATTAGTGTGAAGGGCATATATGCTCTACTTTTCGGACGATAGGGGTATCAATGTTACAAAAGTATGACAAACATGCTCATTTACGATATTTGGGGAGTATATTTATTTTTTTCCCCTTCTTTTATAAGCATGCATGATAATTCTGAAATTTTACATAATTTATAATTAAGATATAAAAATATCTTAACGGATTAATAAATCACATATCTTTATATCTTTTTAATAAATAAATATTTTTAATTACGTGTTATTATAAATTTAAATAAACATAAATTTACAAAGATTCACTACTCTAATAAATGAACAATCTATTCATATCAATCATGAATCTTTTTTAAGTAAATTTAAAATAATAAAATATACACTTATGAATCAAATTTTATATTAAAAAATCAAAATCGTAATTTAAAGTTAAAATTAAAATTTTTATAAATTTTATAAACTAACACCGATTTAAGATAATATTTCAAAATTTTATGGCCAAACGCTAAATATTATATTCCTCCATTTGCATCAGCAATATTTTTTTTATGATTTGGTCATGTCATGTCAGATGAAAGTTCAACTTTGGTTTGGTGATGCAACAAACTCATATATTAGTCAACTTCATCCTCATACACACACAGAGAATCCTATAAGTTTTAATTTTGTTATCCTTGATTTTTTTTTTTTAATTTTTATATATATAAATATGACTCTATTCATAATTGATAAATGATAAAGAAAAACGTATAAAGATGGTGAAATTTAATACTAAAAGTTTTTTTAAAAATCATTTTTTTGAGATGTAATATATTAAAAGTATTTTGGAGCATAAATATAAGATGTAAATTTATCAGCGGTATAAATATAATTTTAGAGGTAAAAGTATATGCTTAAAGCGTTAAAATAGATTTTTCATTATTTTAAAATCAGTTTTATTTTATATAATATGTTTTGTTATTGATATGATAATTTTATACTTTATGTTATCACGTTGTAGTGATTCTTTTAAAAAATACTATAAATTAATAAAATAACTCTTATATAAAATCATGTATGAAATTGATACATTGAGATTCATAGCACTATGTTATAAATTTGAAGATGGGTGATGATTTCATTTTAAAGATTTTTTGTTATTTTTTGAAAACAATTATAAAAGAAAATGATCATATTTGTACTTATAATTTTAGAAAAGGGTTAATTATTTTTTTGATATATTTGTCTCCACCATTCAATTTTGAGTCAATATTTGTCCTTAATTATTATGTCACTAATTTTATTATCCTATGTGACGCTTACATAACTTTTTTTTTACTATAATTATAATTTTATTTCCTATTTGATCGTTCAGAAAATTATGTGGTTAAGCAAACTTATATTATTTAATTACTCATCATAGCTATAATTTGTTATAATTACCACTCGCGACTAACAATATACATTAATTATGTGGATTGACTTCGAATTTGTATAATTAGTCAGGTTTGTATATGTATAATTCGTCATAATATACAAATACATATGTATAAAATACAAGCCGATATACATATACAATTCATCTCTCTCCCACTCTTTGCCCTCTCTCACTCGCCTCTTTCCTCTGTTCCAGTCTCGCTCGCTTCTCTCCTTCCTATAACATGTAACCACGAATTATAATTATCAAACTTTAACCATTAAAAATAATTAAACTATTTTTTAGTATCTGTGTGTAAAAGTTCTTCAGCATAATTTATTCGATTAACTTAAATAAAATTCCACCTATCCAATTCGAAAACCCATTAACCCTAACTCCACCACCATACCCACCCAGTTTGATAAGAATAATAGGCAGATAATACATTATTTTAAAGATTCTCTCGGTCATTATTTTTGTTATCTTTTTAAATAATAATTATAATATATGTTTTCCTATATTATTTATGATTTCTTTTGGATTTATTGATAGAATTATTCAAAATTTTACTTTTATTTATTTTATTAGTAATAAAATTATAAAATTAACGATACATAAGACATACATCCTATAAATTCATAAATTTTAGCCTAATCTTTTGAGACTTATGCCTCCCTGTACGTTTCACCTCACACCCCACTTTTTATAATATTGATAAAAATATTTGTCGATGCTTTAGGAAAAGTCTTAATTAGATTTTTCATTAGTCTATTGCTTAGTATTTTGGTAGGAGAATTGTGAACATTTCATAGAATTAAATGGAAAAAAGTGTCATCGACCAAGAGACATAGGCCTTGATGCAACACCAATTGACCCTTAGCCATATTAGCATTTACTTATAACAATAATATTTACACATCTTTTAACACTATAACGATTATTTACTTATAACAATAATATTTATTGTCACAAAAAATATTTAGTGGTATTAAATTAGTATCATTGTATACATAATCGCTAATTTCTTAATTTAGTGGTATTTATATAGAATGTTGATTATAAATATTGATATTTCTTGTTAACGCTAAACATAATATAGCGATAAACAGAAGCGAATCACGAGTTAGAAGACTTTGGGTGCACCAATATAACCTTAGCCAAATATGAGTTTTAAGCTAAACTTAAAATAAAAATAATAAAAAAGGACTTTAGTTTGATTTGAACCCTGGTCTTAAGGGTGGTATCTCTAGTTTGTATTAGTAACACAAGGGCACTCCTATGTTTTCCACGAGTGCGTTGTTAACTAGATACTAATTTTTGATAGTTTTTCAATATATATATATATATATATAACTTTTTTGAAAGTTAGCGGATGCATGTGCTTTTCTTAGTTCTCCAAAATATAGGTCCGCCTCTAGCAACAAATATATTATTATTGTTAAATCCTTTATTTGTTGTAGGAAAAAAGGCATGAGAAAACTTGTGGAACATTGGGAGCAGATGGAGAAATATTTGGTGGCTTTATGTTGTCAACTTTTTTACCCTCTTTGTTAGATTACCGATCATATAAATTAACACAGAAGAAAGACGTTTAATTGGCTATATTGACACGTTACCTGCGTAGAATTTAAATATTATCATAGACCTTAAGAATTTTCATCAACAAAAGCATAGACTTTTCATTTTGTTACTTAATATATATTTCCTCTATCAAACAATCGTTGTTCACTGTACTATTTTTTTGGAATATCTAATAATACTTGTTCATATGAAATTAATAAATAATTTCACACTTAGTTCCTAATTTACCATTTCAATAATTATAGTCATTTCTCTATTACAATTTTCAAGACATTGTATTTATTATATTCAAATGGTGATATGGTAAAATTACCCTCCTATTTATACTCCCTCCATCCACTTTTAATTTTCATGGTTTCCGTTTTTAGAGTCAAACCATAAGAACTTTGATTAACATTTTACGATATATATTTTTCATCATATTGATATGCAGAAAAATTACAATTTATAATACTTCTAGTATGGTTTTTGAATATATAAATTTTGTTTAAAATATTGAATTGAACTTTAAAAATTAGTCAATTAACTTTAGAAAAACGTAATATGACAAATAAAATTAGATGGATAGAAATAATTTCTTAAGAAAAGTTTAAAATAAATAATGGACCAATATTGCTATAAATGGTAATGGAAGCATTTGTCCTATATGTACAAATCCAAATCGGACGGATCTTTATCCGAAGTAGAGCATAAACCTAAAAAGATGAAACAGACTCATTCAGGAACAAGAAAATATCATCGCGGTTTGGATTAAATCTCGATGAAAGAATACATCAATGGGAGAAGGAAGTATATATTTTTTTTTGGTTGAATTGTGAAATTTTCATAGAATCAAATGACCAAAAAGTGTCATGAATGCCATGAGACAATTAACCCCATTTAATTAGAAAGAAGGTTAAATTAAACATACTCAAATGGCTATATTTAAAATGGACATAGAAACTAATCAAAAGTAAGTAAATACTATTAAATAAATTAGTTGAATTAATCTTCCTCAGCCAAAACCATTCTACTTAAAGGACTTGGCCCAAGTTTTTTTCTTCTCCTCAAAGAGTTTCTTCTCCTAATAACTTCCATTTGATTCCTTCTTCTTACTTGCATCATTGCTTCTTCTTCAATCACAAATCTCTTCATTAACACATCATCATTCAATGATTTTCCCCTAAATATCTTCCTCCCTTCCAAACTCATCCTTCCACTTGGTATTCTTTCTTGTGAAATACTACTCATCATTGGCTTTGTTCTACAATTACTTTTCCTTGGTGGAACGACATGATGATGGTCTACTTGAAACACTTCACTATAGGAAGATATTGGTGCACATAGACATACTCTAGTGAAAGATGTTGCAACTCTTAAAGAAGTGCATCTTCTTAGCTTTTGTGATCTATTATTAGTGTTTGATATCTCTCTTGATGATGACTTAGATATGCTTCTCCATAGTGTTGGATTTGTTGTGGGAATTTCACTTGGCTTGGCAAATGTTTTCCATAGAGAAGCCATTTCCATTGCCTTTTGGTACCAAGCCTTCCTACAAAACACATCTAACATTTTAAATTTTGTGCACTATCGATCGTTAAATATTTATAATAGATAAATCTTCACAACAAGTCTAGTGTGATATAATCATCTGAAAGATCGACCATATTGCAACTAAACAAAATCATTTATATTGTTCAATGTATATAATCTATGATACAATTTTAAATACAATTACACTAATTAAAAATTTAATCATATGTAATAAAAAAAATCTAGCAAGGGACAATAGTTAGTATGGACTGATAACCTAAGAAGTATTGCAAGTAACCTACAACTGTTTTTTTTTAATTTGTCCACATGTATAAGTTAAAATTCATATTTAATAAGGTTTGTCAATTTCAATTATTTAAAAATATCACACAAGAAACACAACATAAGTTGAATTTTTAATAAGCTTGTCAATTTCAATTATTATGAAGAAATATCACAAACACAAACATTAAAAAAAAAAAAAAAAGAACACCATAGATGGGATATAAATGTGAAACTTGAACTAATATACTCTTTTTAGCTTCTTCTGGAACTTTAATTTTTCAATTTGTTCACTAAATAAACCATTGAAATATCAAGGTTGACTTTATGAAAAGGTGGATAACCTTTGAAAGTCATGAGAAAGAACAAAAAAGTGATGAAAACTAAATCAAAGTCAATTAAAATTCTCTAGACTGAGCCAAACTTTGAAAATGTCTAAGAATTTATGTTTGGACAAGTCTTCCTGGGATAGGTCAAACCTTGGTTTAGTCTGTTTTTTTACGCGCTTAAATGAATTAACTTTTAATTTTGTCCTTAGCAATCGAATTTATGTCAAACGTCATGTGAGTTAAGCATACCTTTTGAGACATTGTGGTACAAAAATATAAATTTATGCCTCACAAAAAAAGTTTTTTTTTTTTTAAGGACAAAGATTAAAGATCAAAATTCACAAATAACCCAAATGTTAAAGGTCGAGAAATCGAATTCATTGACCTTGTACAACATGAAATTTATTTAATTATACAAAATCTTAGTAGTTCAGTTAGTTGACCATCTGAATTTTCAGCTTGTTGATTAGGATTCGATTTTTAAATTGTCATCTCTTTCCACCATTTCCCCCCCAATTTATTAACTTTTTTTATTTTTATTTTATTTGGAAGAAAACCCATCCCATCGTGTTAAGGCTTTTGATATGGGCCTAAAGTGTACTGCTCAAAATTGGGTCACTTGCTGAGGTAGAAAGAACTAACAGAAGTTGTACAAATATGTGTTTTGTCAGAACTCCCCCCACCCCCACCCACACTTTTTTTTTTTTTAATGATAGTGGTGTCCGGATTAGTTTTTAGTTTTCACACACATAAACAATTTCACGGAATACCTATTATCTCCCAACAGCAAGCAACAAGCAACTCTGTCCACTAAGAATAGCAATTGGTGTAAAAAGAAAAGATTGAGATATATGTGATTGGAATTGAGTGAACAATGTTCCATTGAACTTGTATTGTCTATCCCTAATTAATGATTTATTTAAATGTGCACGAAAATGATCTATTGGTCATTTCTTAAAGACTAGAATCATATGAATTCAATGTTGAAGTGATAAACTATAATTTCCATATATTAAAATTTGAAGTAATTTACTAGAAATTGTACGGAGTGTCTGATTGAGCTGGAAAAGTTTGATTATTAATTAAAACATAGATAAGTAAATTATCAAGAGAGAAAAAAAACACAATGTATATGGATCAATCAAGTAAATTTTACTTTTAACAAATTAAAGTGAAAATATATGTAATTAATCATAATTAAATACTCTAAACAACAAAAACACATTTCATAAATTTAAAATTTAATACATGAATGTTTCTCTAGTAGGGATTAACATATATTCTCTTTAAAAAGACAGATATATTTATGGCGCAAAACTTCAATTTTGAATCAATGAAGCTTAATCCACAAAGTAAAATTGAATATAACTAAACAATCAATTTGATCAGTTTAATTTAACAACAAACTTCTCCATTTTATTAACTATAACCGTTAATTTCGTACAACATAAATAATCATAAAAATAAGACAGACAACATATTATAACATATTAAATTACAGTAAACTATGATGTTAGTTCAGACGAGGAGAGAAAGTTACCTTGCTTGTGAAGAGTTCTTTGGATCTTGCATGAACAAAGAAGAAAATCAAAACTTTGTGATTCAAAGAAATATAGAGAAATGAAGAATAAGAAGAAGAAGAGGAAGAAATTTCTTCTCATCTATGATATTAATTGTACTATACTATAGTTTAAAAGAAAGGGGTATAATAAATGATAAATCAAACTTTTATTATTTTTTTTGCTTAAATTAGAGAGAGTTTCTGAAAGATGGGTTGTCAAATTTACAACTTTCTTTATCTTTTTCTTCTTTATAGTATATAGTAATAATAATAATAATATAAGGCTCTTCCTTTTTTTTTTTGCTTTGCTGCAGGCAAATGATTCAAATTTCAAAAGTGCAAAGTGTTACACTATACTACTTTATTAATTTACAATATAAGTATTTTTTTTTATCTTTGAAATTTTTACCTTTTAGACTCTTATGGGTCATATTTTAGGGGCCCAAATATCAGATCATATACTTAAATGGGGACCATATAAGTGAAAAATAACAACTTTTTCATAATTTCTTCATTGGGGAATGAGGCAAATAGGTATTTTTTTTATATTATATAAGTTATAGATGTGCTTTTTTGAAAATTTTCTAAAGTCCCAAAACAAGAATATTTAAGTAGTTGAGATCCTAAACTTGATATTTCATGCTGTGATTCCTTCATTAGAAATTAATGTTTTTTTCACTTGGTAATTATATGCTATGATTGGGAGCATGTACTTAAAAACTATTTTGTGCTTCTCTTATGATAAACTTTAGAACAATCATGTATATGTAGCTTTATTTTGCCCCTTTTATTTTTCTATTGGGTAATACATATGTCTTTCAAACCTTTACATGTGGCTTTAGATCATATCCAAATGGTCAAAATCTTTCATCCGAACCCTCGTCGAAAAATTATGCATTATATATATAAGTTATTTTTTTTTGAAATCGTTGGTTACCTTTGAATCCACTCATGTCTACATGTCGTCCCGATCCTCTAACTCCATTTTTATATCAATTAAATAATTATATATATGCAACTATTATGCATATGTATCTGTGATGTTTTTGTATATCTGCATAAAGTTTGAATTCGTATACAATATCGAGTTAATATATAATTGAATCAAGTTAAACATTTGTATTTATATATCAAATCTCTCTCTCTCTCTCTCTCTCTCTTTCGCTTTATACAAACACAAATTATACACTGTATTTGTGTAATTTGTGTTTATATAAAGCGAGAGAGAAAGATAAAGGGCAGAAGAAGATTTGGATTTGTATAACTATAAGTGTATATGACAGAGATATGTATTCTATATACAGTCTCTCTCACTTTATACAAACAAATTATACACTTGTGTTTGTATAAAGTGAGAGAGGTGAGGAAGAGATGACTCTCAATTTCTGAGAGAGATGGGAGTAAAACGAATAGCAAAAAATTTATTGCGAAGTATAATCAAACAAAACTATACCTATAACATAACATTTATGTTAAATTAATAATTTACTATAATACATAATTTTTTTTCTTTTCATAATATGGTGTATATGACTCATTAAATAACTTTACAAAACATACATAAATTCCTATGATACGTTGATGCGATGTAACATATTTTAGGGGATAAATTCATTAGAGTTTTAGGACCACAACTATTAAGATAAAATTTATAATACTACTACTTATACATTATAATCTTATTTTTTTTGTAAAATAAATGTATATTTAAGAGGCCAGGGACACGAGTGGGGAGATAGTGCATAAATTAAGTAGCCAAAATGGATGACATTATGATTCCTTTTATTTGGTGGTGTTAAATCAATGAACCCAAAAGCTGATGCAGATGTCAAAAGACAATATGATTATATGTACTTTTATTAGGTTTTGCCATTACCTCTAAAGTAACATTTAAAAACCCTAACTATATATCACTTATCACAAAACTTCAAAAAAAAAAAACGTAATAAAGAGAATATAAAAGTAAAACAAAGATGACAATAAACTCGGATCTAGTGATCAATAAAGTGATTGAAAGTAATGATCATGTCTTAGGTTCAAACTCCAGTAACAGTAAGAAAATGTTATTAGGTAATTCTTCTCATACGTCTTAACTTTGATGGACAGAATTACTTGATACTTATTACTAGTGCGAGATGAAAGATATATCATAAAATTAGTTAAAGTGCACGAAAAATAACTCAAACAAGATTGAGTTTTTTTTATAGAGTCATAGTAGCTTATTCAGAACAAGAAATTATCATGTTCTTTCTTTCACACCAAAATGAAAGCAATTAGACATAGTTACTTTCTTTTCTATAGTTACTTTTAAAGCTCTACTAATGGCACTAACAATGAGATAAATTGAGCAAAATAAACACTTCATTACTAAAAGTATGAATTATTGGGAATACATGGAACAATTAATATAACTCAAAGATTGATATTTGTTTTCTCTATTCAAATGTGAACTTAAAAGTTTGACTCCAAAAAAGAGAGAAAAAAAATAGTGACATAAAAGTGAAAACTACTAATTAATGTAAGATCCCACATGTATGCAGGATTTCAGGCTATCTTTTATTTATTTATTTATTATTATTATTATTATTATTATTATTATTGGCCAAACTTATAGTATATATATATATATATATATGTTCATTACTGGACCACAAAATCTTATGATCTCTCATTCTTTGTTTTCCTTTTCAGTATTTTGCTATATGTGATATCATTATCTATGTTTCATCTTGTTTTTTTCAAAGTCATTTTCTTGTGATCCTAACCCACTAAACAAATAGCAATATCCCCAAACATATGAAATCAAATGATGTTTACAACATAGGTGAGTGGGCTTAATTAATTACTTTAGATTAGTTTTTAATCAAATTATTTTTTTAAAAAAGAAAAATCACTAGCAAACATTATCAAAGATCTAGCTTTAGAAATTAAAAAATTGGCTCAAATCCATTTTAGTTATCCTACTTATTAAAAGTAATTGATCCAAAATAGTAGCAAGCATCTTATAAAAATCAAGATATCATTAACTATTGCTTTTTATCATTGCGATGGACGAAGCAATAAGTCCCGCTGAGTCCATCGCAAAACGAATGGGCTGAACCTATACAAATATGGTATATACCGCTTTCATTAATTATTATTTCATAACAAGAGATGTTTTACGATTCGAATTCCTTTCATGACTAATATATACTTTCTTGTTTTTAGTTTTATGTTCCATGTCGGAGTAAATCCCCGATTAATTTATTAAAGTGAGAAATTACTATCTATCAATTTTTTTTTGTCATAGTTAAAAGTGAAACTCGAAATCTATAATTAATGCCGGGGAATCCCTACTCTTGGTGGTCCAATCTGATCATTCATTAACCAGGCATGGTTTAGAACATATACACAAGTCATGCTGCTCTGTCACATCTACACAAGACAAAAGTCTTGTTGTTTAATTTTTCATAAGACAATTAAATTTAAAAAGAAGACAACTTTAATTTCATTTTTTGTCATCTACACTTTGCTTCCAAAAGTTCACAAATATAACTCTACTATATGGCTGAAACCAGACATGTCAAGATGGATGAATGATGTGGTGACACGTGGTGAGTATGATCGAGACTAGTGAAAAGTTGTTCCCTGAACGAAAAATTCGAGTTCGTACATTTATTTTGTTAAAGAATGACAAAAGTCTCACATTGATGGTTAATGAGATGGGTGGACTCCTAATAAGGCTTGAAAAATCCTTCTCCCTTTGAGCTAACTTTTGGGGTGTGAGTTAGGTGTAAGACCTAATTTCACATGGTATCAGAGCGGGGCCCGTCTCACCCGATGTTGGGACCCTCCAAAATCAAAAATTGCCCACGCACCAGATGCTAAGCACTGGTCGTGAGGTGGGGTGTTAAAAATGCCAAAATTTCCACATCGATGGTTAATGAGATGGGTGAACGTGGAATGTCAAAATTTCACATCGATGGTAGGTTTTTGGAATTCGACATTAGGAAGTGTTTTCACACCATCGACCGACATCGACTCATCCCAATCTTTAAGGAAGAGATCGACGATCCCAAGTTCTTTTACCCCATTCATAAAGTCTTTTTCGCCGGACAAACGAGATGAGTAGACTCCTTATAAGGCTTGGACAATCCTTATCCTCAGTTAGACATAAGACCTAATTTCACATAATTATTAATATTTTATTGTGTTCATCAGTTTAACTTGTACTTTTAAACCACTCTAATAAATTTAGTTGCACCACCAACAATCAACCATGAATGCCAGATTCATCATGGTTATTTTTATTTTTTTTAAAGATTAGTCATTTATAAAAAAAAAAAAAATTAGTTCAAAGCTAGATTGCTTGAGAGATAATTAGTGTTGAATATCAATCGCGTTTCACTTTGATTTTAGGATATGACAATTTACAAAAGTTATGATTCCGTTAAAGGTGGTTGTATTCTAGTTGTCCATAGTAATTTTATGTTAAAAATTATGTTTTTGATTTTGTATTTTGATGATTTTATCAAGGATACAATTGATATAATAATGAACATTTTTTTTTCAAAATGTAATTTAAGTTATAATTTTTATGATAAAAGTTCTTTATTGCTTTTTCATGCGCGCTACAATTTTTATTTGCAAAAAGTTACATTCATCCAGGTCCTATGAGCGATATGGAATCATGATAAGCGATATGAAAGTATGATTTAAAATTTGATTGATTTGAAGTTGAAATTCTATTTTCACAAGTAAATTAAATTTTGAAATTGTATTTTTTTTCTCATGAATATGAAAATCCCGTAAATTTTAAAAACTATCAAAATATTCCAAATTCATATATAATTTTACCAATGAGCAAATCATTGTTCATAAATAAAATATCAAGATATCCATAGATGCCGCACTGATAAATCAAAGATCTCCATTTTCTTTTATAAACAAATGTTTGTTATTTCAAACTTTCAAATACAAAAAAAAGAGAAAGACACTTGGGCAGAGAACTGTATAACAACGAAGTGAATAAAACGAATTGTATTATTATAAGTGTATAGAACGATTATATACAATTTGAATTTGTATAAAATGAGAAAGACAAAAGAGACTTGACAAGGAATATACAATTGAATCGAATTGTATAAAACGAGAAAGAGAGAAATTAGATACAATTTGAAAATTGTATAAAACAAGAAAGAGAGAAAGGCAAAAGAAATTGGGCAGATAAGTATTTTTATTGTATAATTATAAGTGTATA